CCTACTATCTGAAATAGCTGTAGTTTGGTGAACTAGTATTGATAATGAGGGATGACTGAAAGTGAAACGAAAATTTGAACCAAGGCGGCATTCAACCCAGAGACCACCGGGTGTCCGGCCTGACACCCTACCAACTGGGCTACGAGGTCCGACTGCGGACCATATTTTTATTTCGCTTCAATCATGAAGGCTTTTAACCGACATTCACGTGAATGTGCCTCGTAGCTCAGTGTGTAGAGCATCGGGCCAGAAACCGGTGGTCGTGGACCAAGTTTCCATTTCCCTTTCAGCCATCACACAGTATAACGTACCGGTCTGCAAAACCACGGCTATCTCAGCTAGTCGAATGACAGTCAATATAATGCTTCCCCTCTCTGATCAATTTCGATTTGAAATAGGATGAGAAGTCCTGGCTGGATATCCACTGTGATTACGATCATGCGGTAGTAACGCGTCACGAATCCACGTAACAGTCGAGCCAAACCCTTAGTGACTGGAGTAAAATAAAAGTCTGACCACAGAGCTCAGTTGGTAGAGCATCCGGCTAAAAACCCAGCGATCGCTGGCTCGAATCTGGCTGTGGTCCAAACTTTCATTTCAACTTCAGTCATCATGTAGTGTTTCCATGATAAGTATTGAAGGTTATGCACCAGCATTTTTCGGCTTTCAGCCATGGTGGCTAACTATCTAATTCTAAAAAAGTTGCTGACACAAGGAGCGAATGTTAATGGTGCAAAAATTACAGACGGCAACCACTGAAAGTGGTTTTTTTCACCGAATTAAATTTATGGTTAATCCACCGATAGTTCTACCCGCTTGGCAGTTCTCAGTTATAAGTATGTCAGGCCGGTTGGCCTGCAGTAATCCCTGCAGAAGATGTCTCCGTGAAGATCTGGTTTTTCCCTGAACGCGCTGACGGACGGTGCTGATACACTTTGTTGAGGTCAGAAGTTCCAGTCGTTGACAGCACTATGTATGAAGCGCAGATTCACGACAAGTTGATTCGATCGCAGTTTTTAAATTTTCTTGTGATGCCCTCGAAGATAGTCAGTCCTAGCGGGAATGAAAAGATGGGACATATCAGTAGCAAAGTCATTAATAAAAATACGTAATGCCAGTTTCCCACAGAAAGACAGTAGGAATAAGTTTAGCTGATCTAGTCGTTCCTCACAGGACAGATTCGAAAGGCCTACCACAAGCTTAGTACCTACACTTCAAACGCGCTCGAGTGTGCCAGCATCCTTTTTTAGGCATACACTGGCTGCCTGAATGCAGTATTCCAAGTGAGGTCCAACGTAAGTAGAATAGAGTATTCTGAACATGTCCTAATCAAAACTTTTGAAAGCTCTGCGGAGGGACCATAATGCGCGAAAGCCCTTTGCTGCAGCTGCATTACAATTTGTCACGGTCTTCAAATCATGGCTAATGATGGCATCCTAGTCTTTTGGTTCAAAGACTGGGAGTAGTGGTATGCCATCAACGGAACACTGGAAACAATTGCTGTGACCATTGTGCATGATCGCACTTTTGTTAGAGTTGATTTCCAGGCACCAGCGTTTGAACCGACCTATCAGTTCATCTAAATCCACTTGAAGTGCATACCCATCTGCATCACTGCATATGACTCTCCAAATCTCCACATCACCAGGGAAGAACAGTACCGAAGAGTTGAGCATTTTCGGCAATTCGTTGATATATAACAAGAAAAGTAGTGGACCTAGGATTGTTCCTTGAGGAACTCCACTCATCACAGGTTTCCACCAGGATAGTATCTCATTTACCCTTACTTTTCGCCTTCTATCGTACAGAAAGTCCCTTTCCAAGCTTGCAATGGAGCACGAAACCCGAAAGAGGAGAGCTTTCCTAGTAATTTCACATGCTACACTTAATCGTATGCCTTTCTGAAGTTTACAAACACGGTATCTATTGACAACTTGCAATCACTGGCTGCAACCCATTCCTCTCTTGCGGCAAGGAGGATAGTTAGACAGGAGTGTCCAGTAGGGAAACCGTGTTGTTGTGGTGTCAGAAGATTGGTTGATTCAGCATGTTTAAGTATCTTATCACGAATTATTTTTCTGAAATCTTAACAACCATGCTAGTTAAACTCACAGGGTGATAGTCAGACAACCAAAGACGACTACCAGTCTTAAAAACTGGGCTGGTTACGGCAGTTTTCCTGTCTCTAGGGCGGCGAGTCTGAGTTAAGTACATACTGAAAAGATCCGTGACTGACCCAGCAATAATGTCTGCTAGTGAAGATAGGAGTCTGGGATGTAACTTATCGGGACTCGAGGATTTTCCAGGTTTAAGATTAGTGAGCAACTGTAGGACCCTTTCCTTTGTTGTGTACAGAGTGTCCATTAGTGGAACAATACTGACACCACCGTTTAGCACTCCATCGTCATGATCTACAGAGTAGACTACACTCAAGCAATCTGATAGACATTCAGCCTTGGACAGACTACTGGACTTTTCATCTGTCTCCAGAGAGGGAATTTTACATTTTCCTTTAGTCCTCCTTTGATGAATGCGAACAGTCTTTTAGAACAATTTTGGCAATCCCTCACAAGCTGTTTCTCGTAGGACATTCGAGACTGTTTTATCAAAGTTTCGCAAGGATTAGGGACTTCATAGTACCCAGTCGTTTCTAGAAACAAGTCCCATAAACGTTTCGTTTGCCCTAATAGTTTGTTGTTGTCCTAATTAAACCATGGAGTGGAATGTGGGGATCGTCGTGGAGTGGAACATGGAATAAATGGTGTCGTTGCCTCTCCAAATAGAGTCCCAGACCTATTCCATGCATCCTCAAATGATGAGTCCTTGCCGACGGTGCAATCCTTGCTGACTGCGCTATCCCTTATACTTGAGATATCTGCACATCATACATTAGGTCTAGAGAGGGCAGTGTCAAAATCAAGCTCATTAGTACGAAAACGAAAGGTTAGTACTTTATGGTGGCTGTTAGCTAATGGAAGGAAGTGTCGTAGATCCAAAATGTCTTCGCATTGATGGGTCAGAACTAAATCTAATAATTTTGGCTTGTGTTCAAAATCCTTACGTGTTGCACATGTTACGTTTTAAATTAAAGCAGACTCTAACACCGTCAGGAGTAAGTCATTTTCGGAGGAGGTGTCCGACGCTGAGACTGTTAGCTCGGTCCAGTTTGTGTGGAGCATTCAGATCTCCAACCACTAGGCATCTGTTGCTTCTACCCCAGTTACGTATATGGGTTGGTATGAAGTCGTTTACGGGGCAGAATGGACTACGGTAAATGACCCCTATGGTACAGAAAGCTTGCTTTGACTTCAGCTCGCAACTGGCCACTTCACAGGTCCCTCATTCAAGTTCTTCGGACGTGACTAATCTTATGTGGACGTCATCCCGGACATAGTGTGGTATGCAGCCAACTTCGCTACCTACAAAGCTGTCTTTAAGCAATAATACCGTGTGAGGAGTGGTGTAAAACCTGAATCCTTTATTAACCACGTTTCAGTAGGGGCTTCTATATCAGAGCCTAGTTCGCAGGTTAGAGTCTCCAGGTCTGTCACTTCACTTCTAGTACTGTGAAAATTATTGGTGATTACTTTCATTGCGTTGGAAGAGTCCCAAGACCCACCCGTATAGGCCTTGGAAACATTCGCTTCCAAGACCTCACAACCCGAAAACCCACTATTTTAAGATCGTTTTCCCCATTAGTTTATCGACCCTTAAGTTCGAGGACAGCTCCCCTCCTTTTCATGCAGTCCTCGAGGGGCCAGTCAGGTCAGATGCGGATATCCGAGTTTTGTAGTCTGGGTGCGTTACCCAAGAGTCATCCGCTTCTCGCGTGTTCCCTAAAACAACCTTTAAAATCCTCTTATCACCAGGTTCTTCGCTCGTTGTTTTGCCTAGCCTAACTACTTTGGAGATGTGTATCCCTTTAGACTTTTCAGGCAGAATGCGTCTAACTAGTTTCAGGTTATGGTCGCGATGTATTGAAGCATCTTTGTCTGATAACTCCCCAACATTCCAGAAGATCACACTGGGTGTTGGAGTGGAATCTTGGAGTCGTGTGTTGATGGTCTTTGAAATCTTCCCGGTAGGTTTATAAGCCTAGTAGCTTCAGTGATAACCTTTGGCGGTTTCTTCGAATGCTTTCTTGGAGAAATCCATGTAGGTTCGTTGACCACCTTTATAGGGTCATCACTGTTACCAGAGATGCAGTCCTTTGGTGAATCCTCAGGCACTATAGTTGGTGTACTATTAGCCCTCGGTCTCCTCTGGCATCGAGTACGCTTCGGAACTGGTGTAATTTCACCAACTAGATCATTAGCTTCCATTAGTCCATTGAGAGATCCTGTGTCGGAAGCATTAACGATAACGCTTGCTGCGTCACCATCTGATGCTGCATTGGATTGGCAGCCAGCATTTCCACATAGCTGTTTATTGACGAGTAACATTTCAACAGCTTCTTGGATTGGGGCTGACAACGGCTTGCAGTAGAAATCACATAACTAGGGAGAAGCTGGTTTGCTGCAAAGCTTGTAAATGGTTGGTGTCAATCTGATAAAAAGTTTGAGGAACCAACACCAACGTGCGTCACATTGCATACCTTCATCAGCCAGAAATTCACAGCTGGGATGACCGCAAACATGATTATCGCTGACCATATCATTCACTAGTACTGAAGTGTTCGATCAAAATTTCGACACTAGGACTTAAGTTGTGACAACACAAAGAACAACCTTAAGCCTCAAAAAATGATTAAACTTCTCACACTGACTCAAGTAATTCAAGTCAAGGTTCATAAGAAAGCCTCTGGTGTGGATTATATAACGAAAGCGAAAATGTCAGGAGCGTGAAAAAATTCACTTCCGGTTTTCAAAACACGCGCAACAAGTTTACCAATTTTTCCAGTTTCAGGTTCATTTCTTCAGTGACTACTGATCTGTCGCCCTTTTCAAACATTTGCTCCTCTTTTTGTTTTAAACGGTCAAAGTTGTGAATATATGTCCTAGTGCATGTCAGAGCGGCCTTTTTCGGTATGTGACGAAAGTCTCAGTGAATTATAGCTATTGGTTTGAAAGGTTAGCCAGCTGATGAGTATGTTGGTGGGGAGCCTAAGTTCTATTGAAAGATTTTTGTGGTTGTAATTCAGTTTTAAACCTATGCGTCACCACACGTCGATCCCCTGATACTTGCTCAATACCGTCGGGAAATTGAATTCCAGAAATTCATGTCATATAGACTCAGTCATCAAAGTATGTGATTTGTGATTTAGGCGGTCGTTTTCATGAGGTCTTAGGTCGTTGTTATTCTCAGGTGTTCAACTTTCCATTGAAAAGGATTGCAGTAAGGTCCAGGGGTCGAATAACAGACCATGAGTTAACGAAAACATGTTGGGTTTTTTTCAAGTGATTTATACGAGATTGCTAGTGCCTCAGCAATTCAACTGGAACTAAAGCCGTCCAAAAAACTTCTACCTAAATTATAGCCATACCAGTTTCTTTGCAGAGAATGAAGTAAACATATGAAAAGAGCTGCTTCGCAAATTTTGATGCATAAAACAAAGAAAACGACCCCATGAACAGAATAGGGCTTAATATGCATCCATTCAACTTACTGTTCTCAAAGAGTGGTAAGCGACTGGAACTCCCTACAGGAACAATTGGTTTCAGCTCATTGGGTGAACGCATTCATAGAGAAACCTAGTGCAAGGATCAAGACAGGTCAAATTGACTAACTTTTTTTGCTTAGGACTGGTTGAAGTCGTTATGACTTATAACAACAAAGAATAATGGCAATGATGTCCAAAAAAAATTAAGTCTATGGATTGAGACTTTAATTTTCTGTCGACTAAGTAATTGTAACTCTGCTAGCTGGGTGTGGGTAGGTGAAGGCTTCAATTGCATAACTCATGTATTGGCCATGTAAGTCGTCCAAGGCTTGCAAAATCATTGACTGGCTTATTTCCCGTACCTAGCACTTTCAGGCTAACCTAGGCGCTGCTCACTTTGTGAGTCTATCACACGCGAGCAATACTGAGTAGTCACTATTCAGAATCATGTAGCCCCTTCACATCTAGCTTCAACAGTTATACCTCACAGTACATGCAGCCGAACAAAGCAGAGCTATTTAAATTTCATATATATCTGCTTTCACGTGATTCAACTCCACAAATATCCAATGGTCCTTCATATATTTGTCAAGGCTTCGTGATGAAGCTGTTTGTGCTTATTTCCAAATAATCACTCCAGATGTTCTAAAGCATCTGCAACTTTTGAAGATCCTCTAACAGGAATACCGTGTCACTATTGCGCACCAACTTAGACGACATCTAGTAAGTAGTTTTGCATTGGATGGGACTGAGCCGATATTGCTAGCTAATACCACTAATTACTATCACCTCAGATAACAGATGTTCATAAGTCATGTGATTAAACAAGTTCAAGTAGGGAGCCTTCGGTACCACTTTATTTATAGTCAGGTATCTCAATCGAAAGCGTCAAATACCTCCTGCAGATCGAGAAATATGGTATGTTTGCGATGCCACTAAGTATTTTTTTCCCCGGATGGATGATGATTATTGCGTAAGTGCACATCCACCATGGCTTGAAATCCTATTGCTGTTCCCAAGCTCTGTTCATGAGCTACGACTAGCTGGCTTTCTAATCACTATTGGCCATAAGATCTCGGAGAATCTGTCATGAGAATTGCACGGACCGCAGACATTACAGTTTTTCAAATAGCCATGTAATAGAGACCTTGTTTGAAGACACTTCTGTATGCATGTACTTTTTCCGGCTCCCAACGCTAACTGTATTGACGGCGGAATTGAACTCCGGGAGGTGTAATGGTAGTCTTTCGCTGAAAGAAGTGTTGAGTAAGTACATCACCTTGTTGAATACGCTATTGGAACAACCTTGGTTGTTAAAACCTCTAGTTGGATATCAGGGATTTGTGTGATTTTAGTGGTGTCCTTCGGGGTTGTCCACTTCTTTCAACTCTATCGTTTATGTGATTATGAAGTTTTCCGTTTCATCGTGACTTTATAATATTTGACCTTATCACAAGAAACTCGTTAGAAAGTTTATGCTAGCCAAACGTTGCAGTCGTAATGCATGAATACTGAGATGGGAAGTCATTTGGACATCTTTACTGGCAATTTGAGAATGCTTGGGATGCATTTCTCACCCTCCAAGTGTAAACTGTTATCCGTGTGCTGATCTTAGTTGGTGTGTCTTCTAACGGTAAAGAGTAAAGTGGTTGATCGCACTGACTGCTTCACTTACTTGGGAAGTAGGATCAACCCTGAGCGGTCAGTGACAGACAAAATCTCTGTTGGATACGGAAAGCTTGGTTAGCTTTTGCCAACTTACACCACTTATAGAGCCGGTAAGATATCTGGTCGCTTTTTTTAGGTTCTGGGTATACTGCCCAACAGTTTGCTCTGTCTTCCTACCAGGTCATGAAACATAACCATTAAAGCTAAAAGACATGAGGAGGATTTAGGTGTTCGACCACCATTGCATTTGTAACATAGACTGTTGTGGTGTCACAATGTTGACAATGTAGAAGTCAGGCCTTTATTTGTAGACAGAAGAGCTAAGTCGACTAGTGAGGTTGTGAACCCTGTTTGACTAAGATAGCCGAAACGTATGTTACACATATCTAGTCAGCGTTTACCACTCCCTACTATGTTAGCTGAAGTAGGCTCGCGCTAGAAAAGGGTTAAGGGCGGTCAGACCGAAATGTGGCACTAATCCGTGGGGTCTGTGATTGTTGTTCCAAGCCATATAAAAAATGTTTACTTAGGGTCAGCGTGATGACCGAAATCAGTGGTTAAAGACTGGGTTATATTAACCAGGCCCGATCTCAGTGACAGCCAGTCTTTATCCCAACTATCATGTCACCCTTGTTTATCTGCTCTACTTCCTTTTCTCATACTATGACTTTCTACGACTTTTAGCTACATTTTTTGTCTCGAAGTTTTGTATCTTGAATCTCTGGTGTGTTATGGCAGATTAAATCATTATTCAGTATTACCGTATCTTGCGTTGATATTGACTCACTGACTGTTTTCATACTCTAGTGGCGATTAGAAAGATGCTACATCTGCTTGTTTCCTGCAAGCAGCTTGGTGCAAATACATATCCCCAGACTAACCCATGATCAAGATTTAGGTATTTACCCCTAGAGAGGCTGCAATCCTACGTGGTTCCTCTCCAACACTGGCTTGTTTGAGCCTGCCTACGGCTTGATATCTGCAGCCATCAATTGAGACAATGTTTCTCATTATGTTTGAATTTAATGTTGACAAGCGACAAGTGATTATCTACGGTCGCTAGCTTGACGTGGGGGTTGGGCTAGCATGTCACAATGACCCAACGAGCTATACTGGTGGAACGCTTATTGTCTCGAGGTCCTACCATACCAGTAAGGTCTTTTTTCCCGACCGATAGCTGCTACCTTGACGTGGTGGTCGGGCTTGCATATCACAATGACCCAACGAGCTATGCTGGTGGAACGCTTGTTCCCTCGAGGTCCTACCATACCAGAAAGGTCTGTTGGGTAGTGGTTAGACGAAAAGCAGTTACCGTCATAGTGTAAATTGCTACACTATGATGGGGGTCTGAGGGCGAAGTCGTACTGCTGCTAGCTGGATGGGGTGTGACAGCAGTAAGGTGTTTCCCTTGGATGACCAGCAGTGCCAAGCTGATGCTGCCTTCTCAGTGGAAGGGGGGGTTAGAAAAGGTCGGCCCCAAAAATAACACACTCCACCACGCCCCACGGTCTGCCGGGCCGGCGGTGTTGGTTCACTTGTCGTTTCCTTTCGCTCATCCGGCCCCAAAAATACAAAAATTCAAAATAATCATACTCAAAAGGCTGGGTGTGACAGGCCTCAAGCAGATGTCCGATGGGCTCTGCGGTCACACAAATCTCTTTCAGGTACCTTAAGAAGAAATAGCCTTCCACGGTGTGGGCAGCCGGGAAGTGTCAACCGCCCTCACAACTCTGTCAGCACCCAAGTTTCTTCTGACTGCTATCCTCCTCCTCCATCATTACCTTCTAATCTTCCTTCACGTCTCTTAATTAATGATGCTGCATCATCTTCAATTTCTCCTACCTCTGCAGCCTTCGACAACGATCTGAGTCCACAGAACAGTGTCCCTGGTCTCCTTAAACCACGCTCCAAATTACATATTGGAGCCTTCAATGTCCGCACCCTCCGTCAAATTGGCCAACAGGCTTCGTTGGCAAAGACTCTAGCAACTCGAGGCATGGATGTGTGCTGTGTTTGTGAGACACGCATACAGGACCCAAGTGTGGTTATTCACCTGACCTCTCCTGACCAATCTGGTGAATCTGCAAAATTCACCCTTCGAGTTTCTGGAGATTCGATAGCTAGCTCTCGTGGTCTTGCAGGTGTAGGTATAGCATTAAGCACCAGGGCAGAAAACTCACTACTAGACTGGATCCCAGTTGATAGTCGCCTCTGCGCTATGAGGCTGAACGGCACAGTGAGAACTAAAAGGAATAGTGAGACTCGCCGTTGTCTCTTTGTAATCTCTGCTTACGCACCCACTGACTGTAGTTCGGATGAAGTGAAGGACGAGTTCTACCATAAACTGTCTAACCTCCTCTCGAAAGCCAAACGTTCGGACGTAGTGGTTGTTGCAGGTGACCTCAACGCACAGGTGGGTAGACTGAGTGAGGCAGAAAGGCACTTAGGTGGCACTTTCGGAATCCCAGCTGAACGTACAGATAACGGTGATCGCCTATTACAACTATGCTCAGATAACCGCCTATTTTTAGCCAGCACAAATTTCAGACATAAAGAAAGGCACTGTCTGACCTGGCGTCCACCGAGCTCGACTCAGCGATGGACACAGATAGACCACATTGCTATTAGTCATCGCTGGAGAGGATCGGTGGAAGACTGCCGCTCCTTCTGGAGTACGTGTTTGGACAGCGATCATGCGTTGGTCCGAGCACGTATATGCCTGCGTCTCAATGGACGTAGAAAAAATTTGGCAACAAA